GGCTCGAGGAAGACTTAACCTGTGGTAGGCACACTACCTGGCTTGCTGGAAACGGCGGACTTGAAGCACTTGCTGATGAAGATCAGACTTCATTCAGCCTTCTGTGTGGACTGCAACTCAACATAAAGAAAACCAAAACCCTTACAACTGGACCAACAGACATCATGAATGGAGGACAGTTTGAAGTTCTCAAGTGCAATGACACTGAATTATTTAATGTAACCCTTCTAGCCAAACTCTAACCCCCACCAGTCTTTTCCTAGCCAACTTAGGTGGGCTAGGATTCTCCCATGATTTGGTCAGCTCCATGGGAGATGGGATCTTCTGTGACACAGTCCAGCAGTTGTGAGAATAGTCCTCCTCCATCAAGCTTAGCAGCCAGATCATGCCTCCTTTAGAGTGTGGCTTTAGAATTTCTCTCCTGCACCTCTTCTCCTTACTGCTTGCCTGGATTGGATGTCTGACTTGGGTTGGCAGCTCATATGGCACCCTGCCATGTTCCTGTGGACCTTGCATCCACTCAACTCTGCACCAATTCTGACCTGTGATTTCCTACCTTCGCACTTCGCTTTCCCTGTTCATGCACCGGCAGCAACGTTCGGCAGAAGAGGGCTCCAGCTAGCATCAGACCATGGACTTGAGTGGAGCTGGAACAGGCCACTTTTTTATATAGAAAACTCTTTCTTGGCATCAAGTCTTTTCGTGTACACACGAGTGTCACTGGTTTTGTTTCTCTAGAAAACTCAGCCTACCGCAGGTGAAATCATGAAGCAAGTACCTGCGGCTGGGACGCAGCACAGTGGACAGTTGGTCCCATCAAGGCAGGTCCAGACCCAGGGGGAAGTCTGTGCAGCTGCAGGGCCGGACCCAGCAGAGCATCATCCAGCGGCTTTAGACAGCAGTTGGACCATCGTGGGCAGACTCGACACAGCAGCAGACTTGTGTCACAGGGCAAGTGGCGCAGACTGCTAAAGGGTAGACAATCGTCTATCAGCCAGTTAACCCAGAGGGCACCCTTCTCCAGCAAGTAAGTTACAGTCCGTTTCAGGCATGGTCACTATCCCAGCAACTAGTTCAGTCAGGAGCCGGCACCAACAGCAATAGCAGTAGGCAGGGAACTGTAACTGACACTGCTAGTGGCAGACAAAGTGGTCCCTTCAGGACGGTGGTCATAATGGTGCTTGGGGCTAGCTCTGTGCCTGCCATCCATCCAACGAATCCCTCCACCTGGGGAAGAGATGCTGAGACCCTCTCCATGTGAATGTTCAGCAGTACCACGGTGCTCTTAAGGGAACATTCCAAAGTAAAGAAGAAAAAAAAACAACTGCATGAGCCTCAGCACCACCATGCCACGGCACAGAAGCAAAGTGAAGGTGGATGTTGCTTTTCCTCCACAGGAGAAAGATAATCCTCACTCAGGCTCCTAACCAAGCAGAAGACACAAATCATCCAGTCATGTGATGGAGCTGGGCAGTCACATTCCTTGCCACCATTCCAGGAAATTGGTCAAGTTTTCTGACGGGACACCATGATTATAATCTGTCCCTTTCTACAATGCAGAGACTACTTAGTTTTTAATAAGTGGTTCAGTATTATAATTGCAGCAATATATGGCAAATTGAAATTGAAAGCCTTTCTCATACCCTTTCAGTCAGGACCTATTTCACTGTTGATGACAATGACCTATTACGGATTAGGAGTCAAGGCAACTCAGCGGAACAGGACCACAGTCACCCCTCTCGGCAGGGGAGAGCAACCTCTTCAAACTACACTGCAACCAGGGAGGCCGCCACCACTTCTCCCCATTTGTTAAACCATCTTCACCTCCCTTGGTGGGGATTTCAGATTTAGTGTCCAGCGCTTAAACCAAGAACTGTTCTAAATGTGCTTTCTTTCTGTCGGTAAGGTTGTACATACACTATCATTCTCATATTGTCCTGGCATTTTGGTTTCGGGAGGTGCGTGAGCTTATTTGACCTGAAATGCTTCCGTTGTTACTTTGTCATTGCTTTTCAGAGAACTTTTCACCCACTGACTGGGGTCATGCTAGTACACCACAGTAGCCCAAAGTCGGGAGGCTGAAGTTTGGGTTTTATTTGTTACTGGAATTTTTTCACTCCTTTGTCCTCTTGACTGTAGTGAAGACTTGAACAGAGTGGATGGAGGAATGAGTAATTGGTTCATGCATAGTATTTCACATCACTGCTCTTTTGCCAGGTAATTGTGTATATTTTAACTTGCACTAGCACAATGAACACTGGGCCAACAAAGTATTTTTTGGCTGTTTGATGCTTGATAATGTCTTGATTTTATTTTGGGCCTTTACTCAAAAGAAGGCTTTCCCTCCAGCAGTTAGAGGAGTACAGATCAATCACTGATATTTTTTAGAATAAGTTTATAAAACTACTAAAAAAGAAATCCAATGACATATTGCACTGGATAAATTCACTGCAAAAAGACTTCTTTAAAAAGTAGCCAGTCCCTCACAGAAGGGTCACACGGAAGGGAAGATGCATCCAGGGTGCAATCGAGCGATGATGAAACACATAACCATCCTCTAGTTCTTTAAAATCTCCTCCTTCCACTATTATGGCCTGAGTTGTACCTCACTGATCTTGCCAGGCCTGCACATGTACATTGGTACTAGTAAGATCTTTGGCTGCACGAATTAACAGTAATGATTCCCTGAGGGTACAGGAAGAGAGGGGAGAACTAGCAGCAACATGACTGTGTAACCCACTCGAGAGGAACAAACATCACAATTTTAGGTGAATGAATTAATTCATTGGATGGTGTAAGTTATAGCCAAACCGCCCCCAAAACCCCAATAATAATAATCTATAATCTATTAAAGGCTCAGGGGTGTAGTAGGGTGGGAGAGGGAGTGGATAAAGGAGAGCTGATATCAAGGAGTTCCAAGAAAAAAGAAAATGGATTGTAAATGTACAACTCTGCCCGATCTAATGGGACTATGGATTGTAATAAATCCTGTAAGAGCTCCCAATAAAATGTTAAAAAATAAAAAGATTTTTAAAGATTAAAAAAGTAAAGACGTCATTTTAATGAGGACAGTACACCAGACTCAAGCCATGTCTTTGCATCACTTCACAGACATGTGAAAGTCCATATACATGCGCGTTGTTTAGTAGGAGACCAAAGAATGGATCCATTCAAATTGTAGTGTTGGCTCCGAATGTTGACTATAGCAAGGCCTCCTAGATAACAAACAATCAAACCTGCCTTGGAGAAAGCACATCCCAATGGTGCACAGAAGCAAGGAAGCAAGCATCAGCTCACGTGGACTGTCATCAGGAGGGACCAAGCCTGAAGGTGCAGTGAGTTGGAATAACTCAACAGCATGCCACAACACGTAGATCCGACTGAAAACATAAATGAAGGGCCCTCCCCCATTAAAAAAATTAACTGTAGCCAACAAAACACGTGCACATTACCATGGAAACAGAAGAAATTCTTTAATAATTCAGTAATATAAGCTTCACAAAAAAAGCACTTTTCATTTCTGCCACATTAAGAAATGCTGAAAATGACCCAAATCAGTGGACAGAACACAGATACTACATGAGTCCAATCTGCAACCTGTTCCTTGTCTTCAAACATCTCTTTTGTCCAAATTATATCCATTCTTCATTTACCAAACAAGTTAGACCCTAAGATCAGGTTGTGAGGTAAAACTGCCATTACCTGTGTGGCGCCCTCTGTCCCTCGCACTGTGAATCACTGGTCCATCTCAGGATGTACACGGCATGCAGACTCCCTTTCCCACTGCCACAGAGCCTGCTGTAGTAATGGTGGTCAGGTCTTTACCCCTTGCTGCTGTCTCCTAGTATCTCTTTGGCCGCAGGGCATCACAACGGTGCCCCCTTTTCTCCCCTCATCAACTCCCTGACACCTTGGATCTCTCTCTGCCCAGTACCACCCCTGACCCTCTGCCTGCCTGGACCTCATGCCATCCCTTGTCCTCAGTGGCAGCATTGCCATGTTGTTGAGAGATGAGATGACCTGCGAGGCTGGTCAGAGTTCCCAGGGTCTCCAGTACCGTCTCGGTGGCCCATGTAGGCATGCTACCCAGGCCTGCTCACAACCCTGGGCGGAGACTAAACCTGAGGCACCACCTCAGAAGTTTTTTCAAAATTAACGCAAACGCAAAATGTTGGATCACAAAATTATCAATAAATGAAGAGTTGGTATAATAAGGTGTTTAAAATTTCTGGGGCCATCGTCTAAGAATCACTGAGCAAAGACAGCCCACAGCTGTTCCTTTCCACCATTTAATGTAGGAGTACAAACGATGCCAGGCTTGTCTTTCCGCTATAGACAAATGGGGGAGGGTCCTGCCAAAAGAAATGAACTGTTGGTGCAATTTTACTTTGTTTATACTGGAAAATAACCTGAACCTATGCATTCTCTTTCTTCTTTATTGGAATCAGTAAACAGCACCTTGTTGTATGCAAACGGCGGTCTTAGTAAAAGGTGTTTGTTTTTTGGTGTTTTTTTTGGGGGGGGGATTTTCCTTTAAAAGGCTAGCTTTCATATTATCCTTGAACAAACTAAGTATGCCCATCACGGAAGTAATTTTTCATTTCAGTTATTACTTGACTAAACAAACCCTTTTCATCTATTCTGTACACTAAATCTCAGTCCTAGCTCCTTCTTTATCTCATCCACACACCGACTTAAAACTGGACATGCAGTTCAGGCTTGGGAAGCTGCTCTACTTTGTATTTCACAGAAGGAGAATGGAATTAACCCAAATTTCACTATTCATGAAATGAGGTTTACTAATGAGGTTTATTTAATGACATACACTTCTGTTAGTCTGCTATTGATATTCCAGGGGTCCTCAAACTTTTTAAACAGGGGACCAGTTCACTGTCCCTCAGACCTGTTGGAGGGCCAGACTATAGTTTAAAAAAAACTATGAACAAATTCCTATGCACACTGCACATCTTATTTTGAAGTAAAAAACCAAACGGGGCAAAAACACCCGGCGGGCCGGATAAATGTCTTTGGTAGGCCGCATGTGGCCTGCGGGCCGTAGTTTGAGGATGCCTGGATACCCTAAGCAATGATTATAGATGTCCTTTAGCCGTTTGCTTAAGGGTTAACAAGGAGCTAGCAACACCAGTTTTTGCATCATTCTCGGTGCCCCACCTTCAGAGACTTATTTTTTAACCAAGGAACTCAAAGCACCTCATGGGTAACATCTCATTCTAACTGTAATCAACTTGATTACAGAACTGATGACATTACCAAATGGACTGAAGATGGGCACTCAAGAAGATGTCTACGCTCAGAATGGTTAATGACTTGTAAGAACTTATCATTTAATCCTATTGGAAACACCCCCTTAAAATATGAAAAGTAAAAGTAAATCATTTTAGAGGGATTCCCTAATACACAGGTGTTAAAACACAGGTGTAGGCTTAGTTAAGTTTTATTTTAAAAAACTGTTTAGCACTTAGTATCTGTAAAAAATTAGTTATTTAACAAACAAGTTAAAGTATGTTAATAGAGTTTACATTTGAAAATGTGAGTCAATCAAAAATGGTGTCAGGAGACAAGACTGACTGACTTGCCTGATTGCATGTGGTCTTTCTATCGGAGCACCTCAGCTCTCACGGCCTCCCGCCCCCGAGGAGAGGATCCAGCCATAGTAGATTTAGAACCTTTCCAATAGAGTGAATAGATCTACATTTGGGTTAGTCTCTAAAAAGAGCAGTTAGAAGAAAAGAAATGACACATGCATGCTCAAACAGCCACACAATCATTGCAACTGTCCTATTTGATAATGGCTGCATTTCCTTTCAAAAAGGCATTTAATATACAGTTTTGCTACCAAAAATTCAAGTAAAATGGCCAAGCCAGGGTCTTTCAGTCTAAGGGAAAAAGAAGCAACTCTGATTTTAAAATGTCCTCCACAATGAAATCAACATTAGCTCTGAATCCACAACTCCACGACTGAAGCCCAAGCCACGACTTGGGAAGGCAGCCCTAGCTAGCTGAGAGAAAGCCTGTGAGGACCCACACAGTGATTCCTACATGGCAGCTGACTGGAGACTGCTGGTCGTCCAGATCTCTTTCAGGTGAGAACCGTAAGCTTGAGTTGCTGCTCGAATAAGATGCCATTTTATCAGTAAACTTAAGGTAAATTATTTTTACTTTTCCACTGAAAGATGAATTGAAAAGGACAAAATTTTTATGTACCAGGTTATTTCCACCAATATAGAGTTTTGAAAATTAACTGTTATATAGATTCGCTTAAAATGTTTGATTATAACAAGCTTTGGGAAAAATAATTTTTAAAGGGTCAGTTTTTCATCTACATATAGCCAATAAATTTAATTTACATTGATATCTTAATTTTAATTAAACTGTTTTCATATCTATCTATATTTTAGTTGGTATGTAGCTATCATATATTGTTTGTATAGTGAGGTGGTGTGATGATAAATTGTCTCCACACTTAATTAAAGTTTTCCTGGAAAACGTGAAGAGAGTCCTGACAAACAGCCTATCTACAGAGACATCTGCCTTTCCTGCATACATTATAGGGGCAACATAACACCATGCAGCAAACCTCTTTCTGAAGGTCCTGAGAAAGAACTCTTACCATTGCTTAATGCTGATATTGATGTGAAAATTCTTACATTAGGTTCAGTTTTTCCTTTCAAATAACATTGATTTTTCTAGTGATCTTTTAACTTTTAAAAAGTATCTTGGCTCTTTAACCCTCATATAACTAGCACATGTACAAAGCTAACCAAAACATAATAATAATAATCAGGTGAATTTATCATTGCCTATAGTCTCCAAAAGGTTAAAGTACATGAATTTTCTATGCTCTATTATAAAAGGCTCCCTATTCCACTTTTTTCTTAAAAGAAACTTTTTCTTTGGTTTCTTGTAATTTTTCAGTGAGTCTCCCCTTTGTTTCTTCCATTTTCTCTGTGAGCAGCTCCTTAGTCTCTTCCATCCTGTCCTGTAGATATTCCTTAACTGGAGGAGGGGTTGACATGTAGCCACGGCTTCGCAAATACTTCACAGTAAATGACGTGCCTCCCAGGGTCACAGTGTATCGGGCAGGTGTTGCGATCTTAAGGAAAAAGCAAACATAAGGTAGATCAACACCTGATTATGACTATCATCTCTTTAAAAAAAAAGGTTGAAATGAAAATTCTGGCAATAAGCAATCCCAAACTGCACAAGTTCACTATAATTACACCCTACATAATTTTCCATAACAAGGAATTAGTCTTCTATAATCTCACTTTTTTATGTTTGCCATGTAGACAATCAACCCAAAATTACAGACATTAGTAATCAGTCAATAGAACTGAAGTTTTTAATTAAATACTATTAACAGTAGCAAAGGTATAAGGTTTCTATCTTTTATTTCCTTAACATTGCCAACATTCATTTTTTGAAAGTAAGTATCTACAGCTAAGAAGAAACCACGGTAGTGTAGTGAGCTGCTTGCAGGATCAACAGTTAAAACCACCAGCCGCTCCTGTAAGGAGTTTCGGTGTCAGAAACCCACAGGTGCAGCTCTACCTGTCCTCCTGGAGGTTTGCATGAGTTGGAGTCGGCTTGCTGCCAGTGAGTTTGCTGAGTGCTGTACCAGAATCAAAATGCTTCAAGTGGTGCAAGGCATGTCATGAGACACAGGTCACCTGCTGAGGTTCATCTCATCCCTCTCGTTTACGAGGCCTTATGCGCTCTATTCAGTACAACCAGCCCTGGGCCCAGAATCATCATCGAGAACATCCATGACACCCAAAAGTGCTGCAATGGTGAGCACATTGCAGACATGCACATGAGTAACTCTAATTAAAGACTTAAGGACCAATAACTAAAAAGGAAATGCAGTGATCAAAGAGAATCATAAAAGCAAAGAGGTATATGGTTTCAAAAATCACAGTAGTATTTCTAAGTCACTGCACGCCAAAAGTCTCTGAAAGCTGTCTGTGTGCTATTCCCAATGTCTCTCCACATTCGTTTTCTGGAACTTCCCCTATTAAACAAGCTTTCTCCAGCACCCATTCTCCTCCATCAAAACTGCTTTCACAGACACAATGATCCCTATGAAATGAAATCTCATGGGCAATTGGTTATCAGCCCGAGCAATTAGAACCCCTGGATACAGTGAAATTCTCCTCTTCACGGAAGATTGCCCTTACAAGGTTTCTGAGATTCCATACCTTCCCAGTTTGCCTCCACCTCACTGGCTACTTCTGCTTAGCTCTCATTGCCAAGGCCTCAACGCTTCCTTCCAATCCCTACACTTGAGGCGAGCCAGCGCTCAGTCCTGGGACTTCTTTGCCTCCCTCACACTTGTTAGTGATCCCAACCAGCAGCTTCAAGTGTTAACTAGACCTGTATGATTTCCAGAGCGAACCATTTCTCTGGATTCCAATATATACAACCACGTTCTTATTTCCACAAGTGTGCCCACCAGCACCTCACACTTGGCAAGTTCGAAATGGGCCTTCCCGGTCTGCGCCGCTCCTCTTCAAGTGTTCCCCCAGCGCAGTACAAGGCAATCTAGTCTGACAGCAGCTCAGGTCAAAAGACTCGTAGGAAATCGTTCAACCGCTCCATTTCTCTTACATAGCTTATCTCCAATCCATTAGAAAAATCCCATCAGTTTTACCTTCACTTAACATCTACAATCTAACTATTTTTACCCACCTCTCTACTCTGGGCTCAGCCACCAGGATCCATCCAGACTACTGCAATAACTGGAGCTCAGGTCTCTCCGCTCCTACTTTTGTTCTGCTAGAGCCTGTTTTCAACCCAGTGCTCAAAATGATTTTGATAAAATACAACGCAGATCTGCAAAATTGTACAAAGGGGTTCCACTTTGGACTCAGCAAAAAAGCCAAAATCGACTGGACAGCTGTCCACAGCACGACCTGGTGGAGTACCTCATCTCCGCTGCCCTGCGTCCTCATTCACTCTCCACACCTGCTTCCTTACTGTTGCCTCAAATGCTCGCGGTAAGCTATTCAACTGCCTCAGACGTCACCTGGGATGTCCTCACCTTGAAATGCTCTCCCCAGACACTTGCCTGACACACGCTTGTACCTCTTTCAAGTGTTTTCTCTTCCCTCTAAAACTGCAAGTTTCCCCTGAAAAGAAAACAAACCTATATCCCTGGTTTGATTGTTTTATTCTTCTTCTTAGCACTACCCCCTTTAATGCGCATTCACACACAATGAACACTGTAAGATACTGTGCATATTTAATTTTTATTCTATTTTCTGGGTATCTCTCAACTGCCTTCCCATCTGACACCTAACTCACGAAAGCATCAAAGCTCGGAGGTCAGGTATTTTGGACAGTTAATTACACCTTCCAGAACTACACCTGCTGGAGTGGTGGTTCAAGACACTTTTGGTAAAATACTGTGTGCATTTCAAGGACATTTCGAAGGAGTTGGTGAGAACGTCCCTAACTGCTGGCTCAGGACACACAGATCATTTCATCTTGCTTTACTGAGCTCTGCAGCATGGCTGGTCAAGCAAGAAATCGATGCTCTCTTGAGAGAACCTAGGGCTATCTATACTATATAGAGGTAGCTCTCTCCATAGTCCCACTTCGCAGAGGAAGAGTACGGTATAAACCCTGCCGACACTAAACCATCCACATGCAAAGTCTCACATTATAAATCCGGTTCCACTAGCATTCATTGAGCACCTATCTCCCTCGGAAGCACAGTACCCAAGGCACAGAGACACTAAGAGAAAGAACACATGATGCTTAATTCCGAGGTGCTTATAATGAAACACGGAAAACACAGTGCTGGCTTTGGCAGCACATACAGAAAACTGAGATGACTGCTCAGAGCTACCAAGGGAACCTGGCCGAAGAAGCAACTCTAATTAGGGAAGGGGTTACGTTAACATCAGAATATTTGCTTTATAGAGATTAAATTATAATCACTCTAATTCTATATTTGGTAATTTAGGGATGTAAAGTTTTAATGTTGAAAATAACAAACAGCTAAGCTTCTGCTCTCTAATCAAAAGTAAGAAGAAATTTTCTTAGTTACAGAATTCTTTTTTTAAAAAAATATTTTATTGAGGGCTCGTACAATTCTTATCACAGTCCACACATACATCCATTGAGTCAAGCACATATGTACATGTGTTGCCCTCATCAATCTCAAAACATTTGCCCTCTACTTTAGTTACAGAATTCTTTGTAGAAAAATTAAACAGGAGGGTGGGGTGGGAAGGGGGAAACAATTACAAGGATCTACATATAACTTCGTCCCGGGGGTATGAACAAAAAAGTGGGTGAAGGGAGACATCGGATAGTGTAAGATATGAAAAAATAATAATTTATAAATTATCAAGGGCTTTGTGGAAGGGGGGATTGAGGAGGGAGGGGAAAATGAGGAGCTGATGCTAAAGGCTTAAGTGGAGAGCAAATGTTTTGAGAATGATGAGGGCAATGAATGTGCTTTACATAATTGATGCATGTATGGATTGTTATGAGTTGTATAAGTCCCAAATAAAATGATTATATAAAAAAGAAAAATTAAACAGGACCCATATCTCACCTAATTAAAAACAACAACAACAACAAAAAACTCAAGATGAACCAAAGACCTAAATGTAAAACTATAGATTGTCAGAGAAAAAAAAACAAGAACAAACTTCAGGGCCCTAATACATTGTATATATTACACTATGAAACATAACAGAAAACATACAAATGGAAGACAAACTAGACGATTGGGATCTCCTTAAATTCAGAGACCTAAGTGCACCGAAAGATTTCACTGTAAAATAAAAAAGGGAACTCACAGGTAAGGAATAAAAGTTGACAATGACATATAAGAAAGGGGCTAATCTGCAAAGTTTATAGAAAACTTCTACACACCAAGAACAAAGAGCTATAAAAGGGCAGAGAACATGAATAGACACCCAAACACAGTAGACATTCAAGTGGTCATTAGCCATTCTAGAAATGCAAATCCAAGTAACAATGAGCTATCATCTCGCACAGTATTAATAGACAAGTTAACAAAAACAGAAAACAAATGTTGGGAGGGTGTGAAGAGACTGGAAACCTTATAGATATGGGAGTGTAAGTATGAGCACTTACACACATCACCGTTCACAATAGCAAAAAGATGGAATCAACTTAAATGTACATCCATGGCAGAATGGTTAAATAAACTATGATACACGTTAAGTGAATAATATGTAACATTAAAGAACACTGATGAGCCTGTGAAACACCTCATAACATGTATAAACCTGGAAGACATTATGTTGAGAAATCAGTCAATTACAGAAAGCCAAATATTATTGTATGAGATAAAAGGTTTACCCACAAAAAGAAGCATGCTTTGATGGTTACTTGGAGTGGAAAAAATGGGGGTGGTGGGGGAGGTTGTAAATCACTAAAAAGAGGGCAGACACGATTTAACTTGTGTTAAGGGGAAGGAACTATATAATAAGAGGTGTCAGTCCCCCCACCCCCCAAAATTGAAGGAAAATTAAGAAACTGGGAGGAGTACAAGCATTAAAAGCAAGAGAGTTAAATAATATTACATACACAATCCTGCACTAATCAATAGTAACATTAGTCTATGAGCAGACACATTGACAAAGCTGACCAGGTGTGGGAAAGAGAATGGACCCCACCCATGAAAATATAGAGGTTTGAAAAATAGTATTTCTATACATGCATTTCCCTGTGTTGTAAATATATTCTTGAATACAGCACAGCAAGTAGGGAGCAAAGTTATGAAAACTTCTTAACCACAATCAAACATATGGAGGAAATGATTCACTGGGTCTGGGAGCTCAGGACATCAAGGTCAATCAGCCTCACAGTCCACAAAGCCAATGTTCCACCACCTTATTGTGTGAGGGGCTGACTGGGGTCTTAAAGGCTTATGAGCAGAGGTTCCACTAGGAGGCATAGCCTGCACTTCCTGGAAGCAAGAAACTCAACTTAAAGCCAGCAGTTGTTGTTTCTTCAAGTGAGAGAGCAGCAACACCTGCTGACAGGCTCTCTTTACCACTGATGAGCGCCATGAGCTGCCACAGGGAGCCCTGGTCCTCACTGGCACAGCGG